CACTTTTCGGTTCTGTGGTCTCTTGTCCAGAAGGCGATGGTTCTGTGGTCTGTTCTCCAGAAGGCGTTGGTTCTGTGGTCTGTTCTCCAGAAGGCGTTGGTTCTGTGGTCTGTTCTCCAGAAGGCGTTGGTTCTGCAGTGGTTGTTATGAACGGTTCCCTGAAACAGGGTTTTCAGGGAAAGGATATTGTCGTTTTCAGCTGACGCAATTATTGATGAAGATGAAAATAAATCTTCAACTGAGAGGTGCATTGGGGATATATAAATTTCCCTACATCAAACATCCAAACTGTTCGCATCAGTCGATGAGTATTTGAGTGAAAATGAAATGAGTTGCTGAGGTTACAATTTCTTGGATTTGCTATGTTCATAAAAGCTGATTGTTTTGAACAAATCATTTTCAAAGTGTACAAAGGGATGGTTGTGGCTTTGTGGGATCCGAAACAAATCCTGAAAATCAGTGGGCCAGTTCTTGAGGAGGCTCTATGAGCTTGAAAAGTGTAAATGCAAATGAATCCGACAAGACGGTGTTGGCCATGTGAAAGATTCTTTAAAGAGCACTGAATGAATGCTTTCGAATGGTTGTAAGAGACGAGGTGAGCAAATAGAACTGAATAGAACCGTAGAGTCAGGTTTTTGAAGAACTCACGTTCCGTTATCCCATCCTACAATGATATTCTCGTCAGTTGAGAACACATAGATATTAGTGGCAGTTATGAGAAGGCGTTGCTTTTGGGAATCATAAATCACGGCAGCATTATCCAGTGGAATATTGCCTGGTTGTTTTCGTAGTGAGGTGACATCGGGAACTGGAGAGGTGTAACCGAAGACTTCGATTGTTGTTATGCTCGGCACAGTTAATGATGTCTGAAACTTCACCGTTTGAGTATTGATCAATGCATCTGAACCAGATAATCTCTCTTATGCAAAACATTACACTTACGCATTTTTTCACTCTTGAGAATTGAATTGCTCGATGTTTGAAGAACATGCGCAGATCATCGTAACAATATGTGTCATACCCGTTGATAATGCTTTCGCCATCATCCCATACTAATTGCCCGCGAGCTTCTTGTTTTTCATCTGTAAAGGATCCTTGATTACTCCAACAGCTAGCTGCACTGATGAGTTGGACTCGTATACAAACGAATCCCTCTCAATTCTGATCAGCTGATCGTTCTGTTCGATCCGATCCAACTGAAAATGAATGCACAAACAATACGAGATTTGCAAAGGAATAAGAGATATCGACATTCACTTTTTCATCAATATTAACAATCGCTCACCGAGTGCAATCAACAATTCGAGAGCACTTTTACGTGACTCGATGGTTGTTGATCTCGGT